CTGAAGACCAGTCCTGGCCAAGCAGGCCATGTTCAGAACATGCCGGCACTTTCAAAGCTTCGGCTGCCGCGGAGAAAAGGCTCCTTGGAGGAGGGGGAGGAGGAACGGCATGGTTGGAGGGGAGACTTAATTCTCAGTCCATCCACCGATGCATCTCCTGCTTAGATCCCAGACCATCGGTGATCTGTTTTGTAACCCCTCCTCTAATGCTTCAACCCCCCTTTCCTAATCTGCTCCTTGCAGAATTCCTCCCCAGGAGGGCTCCACCACAGTGTTTCTCAACCTTGGCAGCTTTCAGATGGGCAGCCTCCAACTCCCAGAATTCCCCAGCCGGCATGGACGTCCAACCTTTGCAACTTGTAAGACCTGTGGACTTCAACTCCCAGAATTCCCCAGCCAAGAAGGGAGGCAGTCTTGAGTGCCTTTCTCATGCTTTCCACTTTCCCTGGACTGAGTGGCCATTTTCCCCTCCCTCAGCAGCTCAGCGGTTCCCAGAATCCCCTCTACATTCCTTTACCCTGCCCAACCCTGAGGAGGGGGCTAAGACCCATACGCCAGGGCTCCCGGTGGACTGGGAAATCTCCAAGCACTTGGGGAACCCCAGCAGGAAGAGGGTTGCATGAGGGGCCAAAGAGGTAGCAAGCCAGGGGACACCCCAGTTTCTAGGAGACCCCTGCTTTGGCCTCACTGTCCTACGAAGCCCCCAAATCTTCCTTCTTCGAAATGGAGTCTCTTGCCTGGGACGGCAAGGGGAGCTTTCCCCGGAGTTATGGGGAGATGGCCAAGGCAGCAGCAAAGCTTCATTGACGTCCTACACTCAATCCTAAATCACGGCTTGTCTCAGTCCAAAAGACAAACAAGAGGTATGAATGAGGCTGTCTGGATTCAGACAACCAGCAAGCCAGAAAATGCAGCTGGGAAATCACAACGGCCAAGACGAAAGGCAACGAACCCCCATTGATTGTGCCTCGGATGCAGAAACAGGCCATGTTTCCCCTGACTTTCTCCAACGCAAGTCGGAATCGTTGTTGAGGGGGGCAGTTCTCCCAGGCGGGACAGCAACCAAGATTTACACTGGGTTCAAGCCGTAAGCGGTTTGCTTGGCTGCGGCACACTGGGCTTCGTGTATGGAGTCATGGAGGCTCTGAGCCGCGCTTCCTCCCTCAGCCGGCCGAAGAGACGCAGCCAACCACGGCTTGCACAATAAGCCCTAAGTAAGCAAATCCAGCTGTGCTCGAGCGCGTTTAAGTTCAGCCTTTGATCCAAACACTCCCCCAGGTCCTTCAGCCGGGCACGTCCCATGCCAGTTGGGCACAAGCGCAAGTCTAAATACGGTCATGTGCCAATCTTTACAGTTATTTCCTCGCCACCCACACAAATCGCGACGGTGCCCGGGGTTCCCCACTTGAGAGAACTGGCCACAGAGTCGGGGGCCCCCGAGAGACCCAGAATTGTGAGCCACAACTGAAAGCAACAATAACTTTGAAGGCCTCGCCGGGTCTAAAAGGCCTGGTCAAGCGTTCTGCTCTCCCCATTGCACCAAAATGAAAAAGGGAAAGAGGAAAACTATTAAACTGTCAGATCCAGTTAAAGCCAGCATGTTCTCAGGCACCCTTAATAGATGACAAAGCGGAGAAAGAAAACATGTTTGACAGAACCAATATGGACCTCCTTCTGTTTACTCCGTACAAATAAGATGCCTCAGTGGCGCCCAAGGAGCACGCCATCCATTGGGTCCTTCCACTTAAGCCACAGTCTCCCCCAAAAGAGAGGTGGCAAATTGGCTCCGAAGACAAAAGAGGGCTTGGTTTCCCACCCTTGGCAGAAGATCAAGTCAATTCCCAGGACTTGGACAGCCCTTACGAGGGGCAGGAAAGACCCCCAAAGCACCAAAGGCAACTGGCAAGATCCCACATAGGGGGAGGCAGGCAGGGGAGGCCCCAGGACACACGCTTGGCACACAGCGCTGAACGAAGCTTTGTTCACCCCCAGTTGCTTGAAGAGATTGCAAGTGGCCACGTTCACACAACTGAGAAGCTGGCCTGATGTCTTAGTGCCGAGGGCGAACTCAACCCTTCTTTGTGGACTTCTGATCAGCTTCAGCCAAGAGGAATCCAGTGTCTGAAAGGGCCGATTGTCTCTCTGCAGCAGCTCAGCCCGGCTGGAGAAGGCCTGCTTGTGCTTGAGAGCTGCAGGTTGGCGTGGGAGGCCCCTGCACCACTGGGATCTCCCCCCCCCGACTGGCCTTCTCCATGAGGTGCCCAGAACACCTCCCGGCTCAAAAGCAGAAGATTCAGCTGAAGGGCCTCGCTACGCACGGGCCATCTAGCACGGCTGTGCAACCTGCCAGCAAACGAGGCTTCCAGCTGACCACCACTGGAGGCCAAGCATCAGAATCAGGACACTGGACGTTGTCCGGCTGCCAATCCCTGTGGAAAGGAGGAGGTGAGGGGGTCCCCTGGGGCCTCCTCCTGCCAACCCCTGTCCACACACTTCACTGCTGCCTCAGTTGTGCAATACTTGCAGCACTGACACAGCATTTTGGGTGGTGAACAGAGACACACACGCGCACACACACACACACATGCCCCCTGGATCCACAGGTCTGTTTCAAGACAAATATATCTCTCCCTCCCTCCCTTTCCCTCCCTCTCTCTCTCTCTCCCCCTGCATAGAAGCAGCCTCTGTAGTGAGCAGAGCCTGGGAGGCAGAGAAGAGAGGCTACCTGGGGGTCTTTCTTCTCCTCATCTCGCCTTTGTTGGGGGGGGGAGGAGAGGCTCGGTAGCTGTTGGGAAACAGGCTGCACGAGCTGCCCTGAGAAAGCATTTCCTGGAAAGCCAGAAGCGCCTGCCTTCCATCAAGCAGCCCCCCCCAACTCTTTACATAAGTGGAGGCAAGATTGGCTCCCCAGCCCTTCGGGAGAGACGTGGTGGCAGCTGAGATTTCAGGGAAGGCAGCAGCAGCAGCAGCCCCACAATGCCGGTCCGTCCGTCAGCCACTCTGCAGAGGCAGCCCTGGAGATGCAGCGGAGGAGGCCGGGGGCTTGCCCGCTCCCACATGCGATGCCACTGCACCTCCCTCCGCCCTCTCCCTGCTGCATTTCAAGGGGCACACACTGCAGCGGGCAGATCGCGGCCGAGATCGATCGATCGATCGCTCCCCTTGGCTCTGGCCGGGAGGGAAGATCTTCTCGGCTGAAGCAAGAAATGTGGGGATCTTACCCCCCCACCCTGTGGGTAAAGAACGATTCAGAGGCGGCACCAGGTGCGAAGGGAAGAGACTATGCTGGGCAACTCGGGGATGGTCCCCACCGCCTGAGTCCCTCAGCCCCAAAGAAAGCCAAGCACGACCCAAACGGACTTCCCTCGGACCCCAACCCAGCCCGTGTGGCGCAGCCTCAACCGAGGGGAGGGCTCCCAAGAAGAGGAAGAGCAGGAGAGAAGTGAAGGGAGGCCGAAGAATCAGCAGAGAAGGGGAGTCCAGAGAGGCAGGGGTTCCTAACAAGCCCCCTCTGGCCTTACCCTGATCCTAAACAGCTCCACACAGGCCAGCGGGGCCCTTTTATTGCCGGGGGGGGCCAAGGTGAGCCTGCTTAGCACCTCTGAGGGGCACCAGCCCTGGGCTGCTTCTCGAAAAGCAAAGGAAGTTCTCCCCTGCGCAGGCTGCCTTTACCCGGTGAGCTTCACTGCCGCATAACTTGGCACCAGCCACTGGTGGAAATGAGCAAGAAACGGATGTGGCTCTCAGCTGCCCCAGCCTCTAAGGGCTGCCTTCGAGCACGGCGTGGAAGAGGACAGAGGCCATCACCGAGACAAGGCACCCCCAGCCGTACGAGAGGCTGACTGGGGAGTCAGCCCACCGCCATTGTACCCCCGGTGCCAATCAGAGCTCCACAAGCAGCCTGATTCAACAGCCACCCAGTCCCGACTGGCATCTGGCATGGAAGCGCCACCGAGCACCCACCGTGCCAAGCAGTGGCCTGGCTCCACTCGGGTGGCCACCTGCACATCTGCTGCTTTCTGGGTGGTCTCTGACCTTCTCGCTTGCTAGGAACAAAGCCTCTGCCGGAAAGCAGCCAGTTCAGCCTGGAGCCCGGCAAGCCAACCGCCTGGACCGGAACTTTTCCATGGGCCTGCAAGAGGACCGCCTCTGACCGGCTGACCCCACTTACAAAGTCCTCCCCTCCCAACCCTGTGATCCGTCCCAACATCCACAAGCCACCTCCTCCCCCCTCCATCCGAAATCACCGCCCCAGAAGCCGCCAACAAAGCCAGGCAACGGCCTGCCCAACGCCAAGGCCTGGGTTCAAGGCCACGCCCACAAAGAGGTGTGCGACCCAGCTGGAGTAACCGTGGGGCTAATTCATGCAACCTCTGCACATCAGCCGTGTCTCCAACAACCCTCGGGAAGCAGCACAGGAAGGTCCGGCACAGAAGGATCCCTGGCCTAAGAGATCCGGGGGTGGGTGTGCAGGAAGGAATTCCGTCCCACCTGCCACCCTCCCTCCCTCCCTCCCTCCCTCCCTCCCTCCAGGATGTTTCATCTGGCAAGTAAACCCCATTCCACAAAACGGACATCCAGCAGGAAGAGCTTCTTCTACACCCAGGAAGGAAAATAGCCAGCCCTCTCTCCGGGCTGACCCCCACTCCAAATCCTCCCCTGGCTGATCTCCGGAGAAAGGCTTTTGGAGCCGAGTTTAAGGAGCACCATTGGGGAGGTCCATGTTCAGAAATACAGAACAACAGAGTTGGAAGGGACCCTAGAGGTCTTCTAGTCCAACCCCCTGCTCAAGCAGGAGACCCTACGCCACTCCAGATAAATGGACCAGCCTGACACTGATTCTGTCAAGGAGAGCAGCATTCTAGGCGGCCCCAAATGGCAAGGGTTGCCCACACCCCCTTCAGAGAAGGCACGATTGCAGCCTCCCTCCCCGAGACCAGCAGACAAAAGCCCCCTTCCCCACCCTGTGACACCCATGATGCCCCTCGGTCCCCCCCTACCTTCTCTGCCATGATCATGGAGGAGCCTCCGTGGATGCCCAGGATGGGGATCAGAGTCTGGGAGGAGATAAAATCCAGGATCTGGGCCACGGCCTCCTGGCCGCTGTCGTCTCCGAAAACCACCCCGTGGATCTTGGTGCCCGAGATCAAGTCGCAGATGTGGGTGATGATGCTCTTGGGGTCGGTCTGGTTGATCAGGAGGGGCACCACGTTAACGTCAGTGGGGAGCCCCCCTGCCACATCCCGGCTGCTGAGAGCACGGACGTCTCTTTCCGTGACGCTCGGGGTCCTCCCCAAAATGACCGCGACGTTCAGGATGGGGGAGCTTCTCTCCGCCCCGTGGACCAGGGCCAGATCCGCCAGAAACGCGTGGAGCACCAGCAGATTCCAGCACACGCATGCCATCTTGACCAGCACCATGCCCTGCAAAGGGGGCCAGAGTGAACCCGGGCGCCCTCCTGCTCAGCCGGAGGGGCTGGCAGACCCATTGACAGGCAGACCCCAGACTGCCGGGCCCTCTGAAGGGGCGGGGGCGCTGCATACTGTCCCCCTGCCTCCCCCCAACCCTCCGCTGGCTTCAGAGCAGAGCCGGCAGCCTGAGCCGCCTCGTGTCGCATCCATGCAGGAGCAACTGGGCAAGACCCCTCCTTTATGGAGAGAAAAGAGAAGCAGCCCAGGATAGTGGGGAGCAGCCGGGGGAGTCGGGGAGGGGCTGCTGCCCATCAAGGAGAAGCTGCTGAGCCAGGCAGGGTGCCCCTTTCGGCCTGCCACAGCCAGTGAAGGGGAACCAGCGGTAGCTCCTCGGAGGGGCATCCTCCGGCCTCCTGGCCAGTGGGATGGCTGGCTGACCAAGCTGAACCAGCCGCATCTGTGGCACAGTTTCAGGCAGGCCGATTCCACCTGCCCCTCCACAGCTGGACCTTCCTGGCTGCTCCCTTCCGGGGCCTCCCAGCACAGGCTGCTAAGGGGACACGGAGGAAGGGGCCCTTCCTGCAGGATTGGGGGCCCAACCTCAGGCCTCTTCCTGGAAGGAACCCCCCCACCTCGCCATGCCTTCTGGAGAGGCTGCTGCTGCTGAGACAGGCCCTCGCCAAGGGGTCCTACATCTTCCCAGCCAGACCGTACCCCCCTCCAGCCCAAGGAGGGGGCTCAGTGTGCCCACTCAACCGACCCCCGACCCCCACAGCTTCAGCAAAGCAGGGCTCCTAAAAGATCTGCTTTTCCCAGGTGGAAGGGGAGGGGGAGTGTGTGGGAGGAGGGGGTCGCTGCAGCCCCTGCCCACTCCCCTCCCCCCTTTGCAGACTGCATTTGGATGCAGCCTCAGAGGTCGGATCTGTTGCAGGGCAGATTTACCAACACCCCCCCCCCACTGCAGTCAGATCAGGCAAGAATTTTTGTGAAAAGGAGAAGGAGCTCCGGGGGAAACGACGAAGCTTTCCGTGGGCCTTTTAAAGTCGCCTCATTAATTCCCGTTTCGGCCGGTGCTCTGAAGGGCGACCAGGCTGCCTGGCTGGGTGACGGGGGGGGGCAGGGGCTATTCTTGGCTCCCCGTCCCGTGGTGGGGCGAAGGCTCCCCCTGGCCCCGCCTCCCCTCCGGGCTCCGCTGCTTACCGGGGTCGTGAGAAACGGTAGACGAGGCGGCCGCAAAGTTTGGCATTTCGCAGGGCTGCTCAGCGGCGCGCGTCAAGGGGGGCTGCCGTCCGTCCTTCCACAGGCGCCGTCGCCGGGGCTGGGGTCTGCGCTCCGCATCGCCTCCGCTGGCGGCGGGGGGGCCTCTCGGTGCAAACGGGCTCTGGGCGGGTCAGAAGGAGGCCGGCCAGGTGAGCGGCGGCGAAGGGGGGAAGCGAGGCCGCTTCCAGGCATGCAAAACGAACAGCCGCTTAAACAACCCCTTCACACACCGCGGCGGCGGCGGCGGCGGCGGCACTTGAGAAAGTTGCCGAAACGCCATCCCAGAGACACCCTCCTGGCTGCGGCCCGCCCTCCGGGAGCACGGGACTACAAATCCCATCGCCTGATCCGGCCAAGGCGGGGGGGGAGGTGATCTGGCCCCTCCGGACGGCCCCCGGGAGGGAGGGAGGGAGGGAGGAGGGCATTACTGACCCCCGGGGGCTGCCTCGCCATCTTCTGCGGGTCCCGCTGCCTCGGCCGGGCCGGTCCTCCCAGCCCTCCGAGGGACGGCGACCCGGCCAGCCCCGCGCGCTCCCCTCGCCCGCACCGGCTCCGGGCACGTCCTCACCGCGGAGGGCGCAAAGCCGGGCGGGGGCTCTGCGGAGGCGCAGCCAGTCCGCCAACCAGCCAGCCCCGCCACGCTCCGCAGCTGCTCGCCCGGGAAGGCTCGCCCTGCACGGGGCCGGACACGGGCAGCTCGCGGGACCCTCCCCAAAGCGCCGCGCTCTACCCGGCCAGCCGCCCCCCGGGCTCCTGCGGGGCTGCCCCTCCAGTCAGGCTCGGAGCGTGGCGGGGAAACGGGGGAGCCCTTCCTGCCCGCCGCCCGCCGAGCGTGCCTGGGGCCCGAAGCTCCCGGCCGCGCCGCCCTACTCACCGCAGCGCCGGCCTTCGCCATAATGCCCCGGGGGGCGGCCGCCCCGCATCTCCGAGGCCGTCCGGGCAGCAGGCAGAGGCGCGCCGCCGCCGGCCTTTCCCTCCTCGCCGGGGCGCCTGGCTCGGCTCCTTCGCAGGGGGGGGCGCCCCCCGCCTGGCGCCCCCGCCGCTCCCCTCCCGGCCCGCAGCGCCCGCGCGGCTCCCGCCGCCGCCGCCTCCTCCTCCTCCTCCGGGCAAGTTGGCGGAGCGCGCGGGCCGAGGGCACCGGCCGGGTGGCACGCAGGGCGGGAGGGCGGCCGCACAGCCCAGCGCCGCCGCCGCCCGGGACCCGGAGGGGAGAGTCTGCCCTGCGGAGCGCGCTCACTCGGCCGCTGCCTCGGCCGGGACCAGCGGCGGCGCTGCAGTCCGGCGCCGGGCGGAGCTCAGCCGCGCAGCAGCCCAGCCAGCCAGCCAGCCCGCCGGCGGGCGGACAGGCGGAGGGAGGCCCTTCCCCCACGCCCCCGCCCGGCGGGGAGGGGAGGGGAGGGGCGGAGTCGCCGCGGGGCGCAGCCGGGGGCCCGTTTGGGGCCCCGCCGGCCCGGCCGCGTCTCCTTGGATGGCCGAGGACGGACGGGCTCCGCAGACTCCGCGCCGTCCCGCCCGGGCTGTTCCCTGCAGAAGCTGGGGAGGCCAATCCAAGTGGCCGCGAACGGGCAACCGGGCTGCAGCGTCTCTGCCAGGAAGCCTCCGGGACGCCCCCATAGAGGGCAGGCGGGGGGGTTGCAGCCGCTCCCTGTGCAGCTTCCTTCAAAAACAGCCCCTCCTCAAGGGAAACAGGGTTGTTTGCCCCCAAAAGGCCACAATGAATTACGGAAGACAAATAAACCCGGTTTAAAAACTCTCAAGAGTGTATAAAGTTGGCAAGAGCCACAAGGAGCCAGGTTTGCTCCTGAAGGGGCCCAAGTCTGGGTCAAGAGTTCTGCTTGACCCAGAACCCTGATGTGAGTCTTGCCTGGCCTGTCATCCAACCGACCGGGCGTCCAGCACAGCCATATAAGGTGGTTTCTTCCCGATTCCTGGCTTAGCATATTGTGCCAACTGGAGTTCATGAAACCATGTGTGGGAAGCCCAGCCTCAAAACTGCAAGTCTTCCCCCCCCCACCCCGCCGCCCCCCCTGATCCTTAGAGTCCAGGGTGGAGCTGCTCCGTGTCTCAGCCACGGAAGGGCTGCTGGGCTCACCAAGGGACTGACCCAGAAAAGGGCTTTTTCCCTCCTGCCGAAAGGGCCACCGATGGCCCCAGCTCCACCTGCTGGGCAGCTTTGCTGGACGAGGCCATCTTAACGTCTCTTGGCAGCTTCTGTAAGTAGCCCTCTTTATTGTTTTCAACTCTGCAGGTCTGGGGCTTAGGGGTCTCCTCCTCCTCCTCCTCCCCTTTTCTCTTCCCCTTCCCCTTCCCTCCCCCTCCCCATTGGAAATGTTATGGGTTTAAGCTACCCTACAGAGGAGGGGGGGAAATGAGGGGGGGAAGAGACTGGTAGCGTTCCATAATATGAAAGACACCACACTTTCAATTCAAAAATAATTAAGACATAGCAGAAATCCAATTCCTTTGAATGGAAATGAGTCTATTTTGGGCTTAGGTAGCGCTAGAGAGGTTTCAAAGCAGGCTCACTTGCATCACAGGGGCGCTGTTGAAGGGGCCGGCCTTGGAGGAAGTCCAGAGAGAAACACAGAGTTGGTTTGTTTGGGCAGCAAGTTCTTTCCAAGATCCTAGCAAGGCCCCAATTTCAGCTGCCCTCCTATCTTCCCCCACCAAAACAATAGGATTTAGCCCCACGGATTGCTGAATGTGTGCCAAGGAGATGGCCGGTTTGTGGCTTTGAGACCCCAGCAGTGGGCCTGACCTCTTGGGATGCAGATCCAGAATCCGAGTCTCCAGAACCTTCCAGCGTTTTCTTACAGTCCACCGCAAGTTTATGATTCCGTGTTGGACAATCAAGGCCAGGAATTGGGGATGCAGCAGGAAAGCTGAGGCAGCGGATGCAGAGAGAAGAGACGGCGCAAAGGCCGGGCAGGAATGTAAAAAGGCCGAGGCGAAAAGAGGGGCAGCTTAGCTGGACGAGTCCCTTCTGGATCAGGGATGGCCGGAGGATTTCAGCAGCCACAGAGGGACTCCATGGCGGAGGGATGAGAAGGTCCGGGGGGGGGGGGGAAGGGGGGAAGATATGTGGGGCTTTGAAAACACAACACCCGGCAAGTCCTGAGAAGGCAGCAGTTGGATTTGGAGGCCCTGCAGCAGCTGAGTGAGAGGCCCGGGGGAAGGATGGGGGGCTCCTCCTTGGCCTGGGGGCTCCGTGGAGGGCATGGCTGGCAGGAGGAAGATGCCGGATGGGCATGCAGGCGAAGAAGAGGTACCCGAGGCCTTCACCATCCTCCAGGTCAGCAGCTGCATGGAATAAATTAAGCTTTGGGCCGTTGCCAAGAAAATGTGGTGGACGTCTCTAGAAAGTCACCAGGAAGTGGGTCCGGTTCAGTCTCCTCCCAGCCTCAGCTGCTCTAGAACCTGGAAGCGGCTGGCAGAGACCCCGCTGTGAACGCTGCCTTCTCGCACTGGGCACTTTCCTGAGGACCAGGAGACCAATAATCCACTGCAAAATTGTGTGGTTTTCTTTTCTTGCCTCCATTTCCCTTTTTCACGGGATGAAGCTGAGACCAAGACTCCAGCTCAGAGGACCTGGGTGGTCAGTCGGCATCCCTTGGATCCAACCGACCATGAACTCATGAGGACTAGCAGCTTTTTTTTTTAAGAAAACCTTTTTGTGAATGCTTTCTCTTTCTTGCTTCTGAGAGTGGAGAAAAATCATTGCATCCAAGGTCCTGGAGGGCGTTTTGGCCAAACGGGAGCATTTGGGTCTGCAGAAGGCTGGGGGTGAGGCAGGCAGCAGAATTATTCTGCTCAGTTTCTGTTCAATTGCTCAGGGGCCCCCACGAAGCTGGCAGAAGTTCGGGTTACCTCAGATCCACCCAGGTGGCCTGAGACTCTCCACAATCCTCTGCCACGAGGCCAGAGTGGATCAGGCAGGCGGAAGGGTAGCGGTGCCCTAATGCCTTCTCTTTGTGCCCCACATTGTGTGCGTGCGTGCATGTGTGTCCTTGCTTTCCTTGCGAATTAATTAAGTGGCCTCTGTTCCCACGCACAGTGGGTGGGAGGCCTGCTCACAACTCCTGCTTCCAAGGAAGACCAGAAAATCCAAAGAAGCAACTCCCTTCTGTGGGCGGGGGCTTCCTCCTCTCTGGGCAGGGGGAGAACTCAAGACAATAAGCCTCTTTGGTGTGGCCACTTCGACTGCCAGCCTTTGGGGGCAGGCCCACTTCACTGTCCTCCTCATCCCCCACCTCAGAAACAATGAAAGGATTGGGTGGGGGGGGGTTGAGATATTTATTATGGGATCCAACCTGTGATAAACGTTCGGCAGATTCTAAGCCTCTTGAGACCTCAGGGTGGGGGGGGGCACCATATCCGCTCTGTCCTGCCAAAACCTGGAGCCCTCCACACATGCTGGATGAAAGCCCCCATGCTCCACAGCCGGGATGGGCAGTGCAGTCCAGAAGGCTAAGCTGCTCTATCCTCTTAAAAGCCTCAGCAAAATTTTCCACTTCTGGGAATCGTGAGACGCTTCTTTCTCAACCAATCAAAGTGGGATCTTCTTCCCAGGCGTTGCTGGGCATCATTTTTCAAGCTCCATAAACCATGCTTTTAAACACCTTGAGAATGCAGGATGTGTGAACCGGGCCTGCCCATCCTGCTTCAAAGCACACAGAGGCTTGTTCCCTTTTAGCCAGGAAGCTTCTCAGTCTTGGTTCTACCTTCCACCTTCCTTCCCTTATTACAGACAGGAAAAACTTCGCCCGGTTTTCCTGCTCCCAGACCAGAAGTCTCTGTTCACCTTGCTTTGCTTCAACCGGAGCAGACAGTTTTGGTGAACAGCTGGCCAGACCGAGGTGTGCAGACAACTCCCCGAGATGCAGCCATAACATTTTAACCCCCTGCTGGAGCCGGCGGCTCTCCTGGCAGGCGCCTTTGCACATCCGCGGTGATGGACAAGCGATCCGGCATCCAGCAAGGCAGGCTTAATGTGCCCTTTTGCAACGCCACAGCAGGTGCCGTGTTTGACAATTTCACCCAACAGGAAGCCCAGAAAAATACCAGGGAAAGGGGAGGCGGATCACGCGTGGCCAAGCTACAAGCATCCACCGCACCAGCTAAGGCAGGAGAGTTAGGCACACGCAGAGGCAGCCTTGATTTTCCAGAAGGTGGTGCAGGGGTTCAAAAAGAACGGAGGCTCTGCCCTCTAGCTCAAAATCTAATAAGCAGGGTAAGAGAGGAAAGTGGAATGGCAGGGAAGAGGAAAACAAACCCAGAGCAGGATTACCAGCTTGGGCTGATGGATGGGCAGTCTTCAGTTGCTAATGCCCCAAAGGTGCTTTTTCAAAAGGCAACTGGACTTCCTTGGTTTTCCTTGAAGATGTTTCGCTTCTCATCCCAGAAGTTTCTTCAGTTCTAGACAAGTGAAGAAAAGTCAGCAGAACTGAAGAAGCTTCTGGGATGAGAAGCGAAACATCTTCAAGGAAAACTAAGGAAGTCCAGTTGCCTTTTGAAAAAGCACCTTTGGGGCAACCAGGGCCTGGATGGCTGAGATTCAGTTGCCAATCTCCTGACTGGCCAGGGGTCCAGCTATGATTCTCTCGCACGCATCTTTTATCAGTCAACATTAGGAATACTTTCATCCCTTGCAACCTCTAGATTTTCAGTCATTTCTCATGCGCCAATGGCTACCAACGTGCCTTTTTAAAATAAGACGTCTTCCAGTGATTGGGAGGAGATGGGTTAGCAAGATGTTCAAAGCACCTTCTCAGCAATTTGAGAGAAGCGCTGCGCCTATTATTCACGCCAGATCTGTGCGGTGCTTTGTAAATTGCTCATACAATTCGGTGCCACCAGGTTGTGTGGATGTTGTGTATTTCAATGACAAGAGAGCACTCTAGCATAGGGTCAATGCCATTATTCTACACAAACCTTTGTGTAAGTAAAGCCCAAATAATACAGGGCTTTTGTTGGAGTAAATATGCACCGATTCAACCATGCGTCTCCCATTTGCCTACTTTGGGCCAAGGTTTTGAGAGGTCTGCTAATCACAGATGACTTGTCCGCCCAGAGACGCACGCCTTGAGCTGCATCCGTCACAGAGATCTCACAATCTGTTATGCAATGCAGGCACTCAGTTTGCCATAGAAAATGGGAGGAGGAGGAGGAGGAGGAGGCAGAGACACACTCCCTTGCTGACGAATTAGAAGGGACAAATCTTGCACCATGGGGACAATTTCTTTCCATTAATTAGCTTACCACATTTACACCCTTTTCTCTTTTCAGTTTAACTGAGTCTCCCATCTTCTCAGCTGCAAAATGTCTGTCTTGCTTGTTCCTTCCGCTCTGCAGTACTTGCTCCAGAATATGGGGTTCTCTTCTGTGATTTGGGAAGAGCAGGAAAAGACACCCAGTTACAACTCCTGTACCTCGAGGCTGGCCACAGCTGGAAACACAGCAGCAAGGCTGGGCTAAAGTGACATCTCCCCCCCCTCCCCCTGCTAAAAAAACGCAATAAATACATTCCTTTGTGCTGGGGAGTGATTTTCCGACAAAAAATGGAAAGCGGGTTGCATTATGAGAAGAAGACCGTAAGGACGCAAACAAACCTTAATAGAACTGTGGGTTAAACGGCAGCCCAGTTCTGACATTTAACCTCTGAGCAGAGAGTTGCAGGAAAGCAACTCAAATTCCAAACGATAACAGAGCTGAGATGGGGCAACATGGAGGAACCGGGCATTCCAAAGGATGGGAATGTGGAGGTGGGGGCTGCGTTGCTCCCAATTCTCCCCTTACGCCGTTCATCCTCTGCACTCCAAGGCAGGGTGGGCTCCTCCGGAGGAGACGTGTGGCGCGTCAAGCAGCTTGAATATTTGTGGCAGAGCTCCACCTACGGTCAACCTGAATTAAACCATCTGTGAAGCTATCAAAGATCTGGGTTGCTGCTGCATTATTGCTTTTTTTAAAGAGAGACTTTAAGGGATGATCCGTGTTATCTGCACACGGAGGGAAGCTTCACTTGTTCACAGCAGCTTGAGGTGCTTGGGGAGGCCTCAGTCACTGCCCCAGAGGGGAAAATCCCCCACCGCCAGGTGACGGGCAGCGAGGACAGACCGCCTGAGCCAAGTTTATCTGACAGACCCCACCAGGTTCTGCCCACTTCTGGGGGCAGAGACCACCTTGGTGTAGTTGTACAATCAGTGCTGGCCAGTAACGTTGCCAGAGTTTCTGCCAGATTAGATTTTCTGCTTAGGGTGAAAATGCATTTAATAAAATGGAGGTTGGCACCAGTCAGCTTTTGTGGTTAGTGACTTCCTAGTTCTCCTCTAAAAATGCAAGTGCTGATTAAGACAACTCATGCGGCAGCCTCTGCAAAGGCCTAAGCGAGCCATTAAGGAGGCTGACGTGAGTTTAGGAGCCTCTTAAGGCTCCTGGTCGTTTTACGCCTTCAACCACCCAGATGTTGGCGGAAATTGTGCGGTGAGTTTTCTTCCACCTAGGAATGGCAGATAACAAAAGATAATGCCATCTTTTTTAAAAAAAAAAAAACAAGAAATGCCCATTTTCACTGCCTAATGCAGTTGGTGGGCTATGGTGGGAGCCAACCCCACACCAGCCAGACATTTCAGTCTTCCTATTCTGAGTCTGCTTCCCCTTCCAAGAAACAAGCCCAGGGCTGGGCTGCCAATCTTACTGACCTAGTTCTTAAGTCACGCTTAAACCACTGTTTTCAATCGTAGTGTAAGGAATAAACATCCACTTGCAGGATTCACCCATCAGGCTGAATATAAACCCTGGTTTTCACAAGCCAGCCTGTCTGCCTGCCTGCCTGCCTGCCTCTCTTGGAGCCCAACAGTCAACTGCAGACCATTTTTAATATCAGAGAGGGGGGGGACTGAGGAAGGGTCTCTTTCCGATTTAAATGCCCATCTGGCCTTACACAGGTTGCGTCTCCTCTTGAGGCCGGGAGTGGTATTATACCCATAAAAAACACCCAACCAGAGGCCCTTCACACCGGCTGCTGCGAAAGGCTGCCAGAGACAGTGGCTGGAACACGGGCATCCATCAGGCAAAGAGCCGGGAACCGGGATCAATCAAAAGCAGAAAGTGGCACTTGGGGCTCCTGGAAAACTATGGAAATAGTGGAGGGCAGCTGTCGGAAAAGTAAGACTGAGAGGGAACAGTTGCTTGTTTGTTAAAAAGAAGCTCCTGCGCAGGGCAGGAAGGTGGAGGGCAGAGCCCCCAGGCCTTCCCAGATTAAGCCTGAAGGAAATGTCCAACACACACACACAGAAAGGAGGAGGCTGTATCACCTGGTTGCAGATTTAGTTATTAACTGGCACCCGTCTCACTGATAAGGTGACCCTGGGAGGCTCACCAATGATAAAAAGGTAAATATGAAAAGTTAAAATTAAGAAAGTTAGGTAAAAACTTAAGGTCCTTAACTTGAGGAGGCTGAGCCGCTGGATCTAAACAAACCGTCTGCTTTTAGTGCAGGGTAGAAGTCCAGTGTTAGGGCAGATTTAAGAGCTGGAAGTGGGGGGGGGGCTGGAGCGATCCCCGGGGGTAGTCATGACCTTGGGGCCGATGCATCCACACGAAGCCCGACTGAAGAAATGTGCGGCTTCTGAAGGCAGCCCAGACGGAGCCAGGATTGGACCTTTGCTGGTTCCCAGCCTGGACATTAGAGGGAGGGGGGAGGGAGGGGGGGGGGGGGGCCATTTCCATCACCCCCCCACACACACACACGGGCTCGGGGCGCGCGTACCGGGCGCCGACCCTCATCTCCGGCTTCACACGTGCGACCGAGGGAACCGGGTCAAACAAACCACGGCTCGGCGAGCACGGCCAATCGGGACAAAGGTCCGGGCCCGGCGCGCTGGCGATAGGGCGCGACTGGGAAGGTCCCGCCTCCTCTGCCTCCCGGTTGGTCGCAGGACCCTCCTCGCCAAACCCGAAGCCGGGGAGTGACGGCGAGGCCCGCCCCCAGCTGGCGCCTCGCTCTGCGCGTGCGCGGCGTTCGGTCCTCGGGCGGCGGCGGCGGCGAGGGTGGGGGGGGTCAACTCCGTGCAGAGCGGCGGAGGCGGCGCGCGTGCGCAGAAGCGCCTGTGAGTTGGGGTGGCCGGCAGGAACGGCCGTCGCCCCCACGAGGAGGGAGGAGGCTCCCGGATCTTCCGGGGACTCGAACGGCGCTCCTCCCTCCCGGGGGTCTGGCCCGCGGCCGGCAAGGGAGGCGGAGGGGTCCGCGGGTCACCTAGTCCAGCCCCAGAGACCCCCCCCGCCCTTTGGAAGGTCGGCCCCGGGGCCCCCGGTGGGCGGAAGCGGCCTGGAGACCCCCGGCCCGGTGGGGGGGAGGGAGGGAGGGGGGGAGGGGAAAGCCTGGGGGGCTCCTGGCCATCAAACCCGGGGCTGCGCCTCCCTCTCCTCCCTCCCCCTCCTCGGGCGGGGTGGGGGAGGGGAGGGGCCCTCTGGCCATGGGCCCTTGGGCCCTTTGCTGCTTGCAGTCGGGAGCCTGGCAGGGCGGGCAGAGAGCCCGAGACGCAGGGGCCCCGGATGCCATGGGACCCCCGGGATCGGCCTCTGGTGGCCATGGGGGGGGGGGCGGGGGGGTCCTGAGGGAGCCATGTTGTCTTTCAGCCGGGAGAATGAATCCAGGCGTGGAGGTCCAGAAGCCGCTGCGGGCCAGGAAGACGATGGCGCTGAGCAGCCGGAAGCAGATGGAGCATCTGAGGAAGATGAGGAGTGGAGAAGGAGCCGGGGGCCAAGAGAGGCCGGCTGAAGCCAACGGGCTCAGTCCCCAGCCCCAGGAAGAGCTCCGCAGCAGCGAGACCGGAGCCGGAGGGAAGCCGCCGGCGGCCAAGGAGCCCCTGGCCAGCTTGCTGGTGAATTCTGAAATCAGCATTTATAAGGACCCCCAGAAAATGCTCCCGAACCCGGACGTCAAGAGGTTCTTGAATGCCGGCACGTTGCAGGACATCCTTTGGTACTGGTATGAAAAGGAATCCGCTTCCCCTGTGTTGAAGCCGGTCGAAGTGTCCCTGGAATCGGGACCAGCTGGGCAGCTCCCGGATCAACTCCCGGTAGCCTCTTCCACGCATGAAAACACCACCATAAATGCAGCAGCCAAAACACCCGTCTGCCAAACTCTTCCAGCATTGCAAGAGAAAGCAAGCCGCCTCGGGGTGCCTGAAAGAGACAGGGCGCCCACAGTGCACCTGGGTAAGATTGGGGTCTCTTTAAAAGCCAATAAAAAGATAGTGAGCTGACTTTTTTCTCTTGCAGCTGGTCCCAAACCCCCTGATGATCCACGTTTTGGAAAAAGGCAAAACTCACTTAACAAATGTCTCACTTAACGGCAGAAATGTTGGGCTCAATTGTGGTCGTAAGTCAAGGACCACCTGTAAAGTGTGTGATTTGGACAGCGGAGCTCCATCCTAGCTTGCCTTTACTTTAGGGGATGGTGGCCAGTGGCGGCCTTCCACAAAACATGGATACGTTTGCGTAATTATTGTATTATTATTGTATTATTATTATTCATTGTAACCCATTTTTGCCAAGATGGTAGGGGGCTTCTTGAAGAGATAAAGGCCCTGGAGCTTGGTCCTAGCACAGTCTGGCAGGGCTCAGATTCGCCTCCCCAATCCTTCCATGAAGGTCTCCCGTCTTTCCTGGCAGGAGACGGTCAGAGGAAGAGGACAGCGTCCAGCAACGGCGAGGAAGGCAACGTCCTTTCCAAGCGCAGCAAAGCCTCCGGGGATCCCGCTGAGGGGACCACCCCAGCCTTGGAGAAAGCGGAGTCCGGGCTGGGAAAGGTAAAGGGCTACGGCTGACAGGGACGTTGGCTCTTCCGAATGCTGCCCCTCTGGCGCAGGGGTCTCTTGCAAGTGCCGCTTCCCATGGAGGCCACGCAGGGCCCGAAGGTGGCAGCGCTGTGGCTTATCGCTGGTAGATTTGTCAGCCGTCGCTCTGTGTGGTTGGAGCTCTTCCTGTTAGCCGTTCATAACCACTCTTTTTGTCTTGATAGCTTGCTTCAGGCCCTTCTCGGGCTGGAAGAGTCCACAGGTAATGCTGCATGGACAGTCGCAATATGTGGGTGGTGGTGGGGAGGTCTCGCTCCAGCTGCATCCCAGGGATGTTCCACCAAGAGCAGCGCCTGCCTTTTCTTCCTGGCATCTCTGGCTTGCTTCGTCCATGCACGCGATTCTGCCACGGGGAAACAATGGTTTCGTTACGAGATTTGGAGAAGGATGGCTTTAGAAATAACTCCGGGGTGGGTGGGGGTGTCTTCTGCCTCCAAAGTACAAGTTGCATAAACTTGATTTCCCACGTCTTTGTTACTTTTGCATTCTGGAAACCCACCAAGTGGTGCCTTTAAGAGCAAGCACGGAAGGCAAGGCCAGAGTCACGGCTGGGTGGGCAGCAGTCCCCCTGCCCTTCAGATCCTCAGTGGCCTTTGCGACTCGCTTTCGGCTGAGCAGAAGGGATGCTAAGACTGGGGAGGGGCCTCGCCAGAACGATGGAAGCTCCTAGAAATGCAGTAATTGGAAATATTTCACAATAAATGCATGTATCATGCATGTATGCAAAGGTATGGGAAAGTTAAGAAATTCACAAGGGAAAAACGGGAGGTTAAAACTGTCCGGTTTGGCTGCTGTGGAAAAGGCCTCCCATTTCTGATCGGTTGGGGAGGGGAGGGGAGGGGGTGTCGTGAATGTTTAGTTGAAACTGTCCGTGTTTGTGTATTTTTCTTGCTGTAGGTCAAGTGCTTGATTCAAAGTCGGCTGGAGGCCTCGATGAGAGAATTGGACCAGGGTCTCCGACGCTTAAATGAAAGAATTGATCACACGCAGTGCCTGCGGAAACACGAAGGCATCGCTATTAAGATTGTAGTAAGAAGAAGCTTCTTTTAAAGCTCTGGGTCTGTGTCACTCACGCACACAGAACGGGGCACAAGCTTGTACAACGTGTCTTTGTGGTTCTCGCACGCAGATTGACAGGGCCCCCACAAGAAGCCTCTCTGCCCCCGTTAAAGAGCTGGGAAGGGTTGGGGGCATTGGTGCAGGGCTTGGGTTCAAGGCAGATGTTCCACTGGTGCAGCTGGAGTGTTGCAAGGACCTCCTCCTCTTTTCTTGCAGAAGAAAATCTCCAGACTGGACAGACACATCAATGCTGTGATATCGTTCCAGAGGAAGGAGCGATCCCAAAAAGTAAGCCGCCTTCAGCAGCAGTGCTCTGGCGCAGACACAGGCGAGCCCAGGGTGCATCGGGGGCTGCAGTACAGCCCAACCCTCCATTTCGGTGCCTCTCAATGGGATCTAATGATGTCGGGTCTCCTTTAAGTGGTGAGGGGGCCATTGCCCCAAAATCCAGGCACTCAACTTGGTCAAAGTCTTGGATGCACAATAAAGACGTTGTTTCTGTTATCGTGAGATAGAATATGTTGCATCTTCTCCTTTCCTAGCCGGGTTTGTTTCTCAGGGCTGACCAAGGACTTCAGGATACCGCCCTGTTGTCTGATTGCTCCCTCCCTGTCCCTGAAAAGCCTATTGTTTGCACCAGAGAGGAAACGGCTTTGGCTCAGAGGAAAAACGTGGTTTCCTAAACTTCCAAGAGAGGCAGAGGTGCTGGCGTCACCTTGGTTCAGACGTTCCTTATAAACCCTAAAATGCTTACATAACGGGAGAAACACGGCCGGGGGTCTCTCCGGCTCCGAACTCTTTTGCTTTTGAGGCACGGTTCTCTAGGGGTCCTTAGGAAAACCGAATGATCTCGGAAGCCAAGTTTATGCAGGGGTCCTTGCCAAGGGCGAGTCGGAAGGGAGATGGAGGCCGGTCTCCAGGATCAGTGGCAAAATGTCTTTTCCCGTAGCTGACAGTAAAGGCTTTTTTCCACTTCCTTTTCCCAGGTCAAGCAGCCCAGGGCCCACGCTCAGTGTAAAATGTTAAATGGTGCCACCCTGCCTCCGAACACGAGCGCAGTTGGCAAGCCGGTGCCACCAAAAAAGCCAACATCGACCGAAATCTTGTCTTCCACTGCAGAAAGGTTAGTGGCAAACGGCAGTTGTCGATTGTGTCTGAGATGGTTTGCTGAGGGAGTGTCTGCCCTGTGGAGGAAACGGAGAGGCCGGCTGCTTGCTAATCCCTTGCTAGACGCCGTGAATTACTATGGTTGCTTCTTGATCAGGTCGTCCGGTGCTGATGTGGTCCTTTGCGTTGAGGCGCCGAAGCCAAGCTCAGGGGTGCTGGCAGCCAGGGCTCCAGGTACGCAGAGGGACTCTCGCTTTTCAGCTCCCCAACAAACATGTCTAAAAAGAAGCAGATGCATAATCTGAGCGTATCTAAATGGACCCGAAGGAGCAAATTAAGTAACGAGGCTCTGGCAGGTCTTTCTTCAGGGGGCACCAGGTGCATTTTCCTTCCTTTGCCCCAAGGAAAAGGAAAATGACTGATGATTATACAATCTGTGATGATAGCACACTCGAGGGGCAGAACCTGGCAATTAGGGGGGGTCTCCTGCAAGCATCTTGGCATTCAGCAGTATTGAAGCAGCAGGCCCAGATTTCCAGGGGGTGCAGCTCCTTGGCCCAGCACAGACCCCTGCGGAGCATGGAAGCACTCGGCTCCAAATGACCCACAGATGCCTCGTAGAGGGCCCAGGTGAAGTGGGGCCTGGGAAGAGGCCTCCGCTTGCTTGAGTCAGCTGCCTTTCATTGGGGCTGTGGTGTTGTTCTTTGTTGGCCGATGATGGAGCAGTCCAGGGGTAAGAAGAGAGTGTGGCTCAGGCAGAGCCCACTTGCAGACTGCAGACCCCCGACCAGGACTGCCCCGAAGGCAGAGAGGGAGCCCTTGGCTCTTACGCCCTCCCGTCACTCGTTCTAGGGAACGAAGCTTCTGGGCATTCACACAAGCCAATGTCTCCAAGCGCTGCTCTTCTCTGGTCCCAGCAAGACGCAGACCTTGGGCCAAGTCAGCTTCTCCTCCTTGCCCAGAAAAGCCAAGAGGCTGGTGGTGGGGGTGTCTAGAAGACCCCTCCCTGACTAGTACCCAGTGCAGGTGTGTGCCAGCTTCTGCCTTTTTGAGCCACCCAGCAAACTCTGGGTTTTAAAACCGCCCTCGCTTGTGTCCAATTCCTGCAGCCCCTCCACCGAAAGCAGCTTCTGGATACCCAGACCCTCCAGGTGACCAGGTGAGCGAGTCCAAGGTCAGCTTTGAAGCTCTGCTGCAGTTTTCTCTTCCTCGGCCTGCCTTCTCCAGTCTTTTTCCTGCTCTGCGGTTACCAAAGAGCCAGAATTCTGAGTGTCTTTGCTGCGCTTTGTATGCGTTTCTATTTCTGATCCTCCCGTATTTCTGAAGTCCATCGGTGGTTACAAGCTGCAAGAGGCTGCTGGCGGACCAAAATCACGACCTGCTTAGTCCGCTTAATTCACCTGTCCTCCTAATTACAGGATGCGTTGGTGATTGACTTAACAGATGAAGAAAGCAATCCTGATAAAGGTGAGCAGATGGTTTCCTGATACCTTTATGGCAGTGTAGAGGTGGTGTTTGTCATTATTTTAATTGCATGGCTTTCCGGACTCTGTCCTGCTTTTCCTCAAAGCAGACGAGTAAACGTGATAGCAAATGAAACGCAGGGCAGTCGCTTCAAAATGTTCCAGTTATCTCTGGAGGAATAAAACGTTTCTTCCACTGGAATCTTTGTCCCGGACTGGCTGCCTCCAGGAGGGTGGTTGGCCCTGGAGCGTTTCTTCCGCAGCCCAGAGCATTTGGGTGCCGGTGAACGGACCGGGGGGGGGGAGGATGGGGGGGCGCTTGGGGGCGATTTCTTCATTTGCCTTGCCCTGAAGACCAGAGCTTAGTGCCTTCTTTTGGTAGCTGTGGCAATTGTGAGAAGCCACCTGATGTGGACTTGCCACCAATTAACGAGGTGGTGCTTAGCATAATGTTTAAAATGCTGTACTGATCACTTTTTATCTGTGGTCAAAGAAGAGAAGAAAAAAGTTGCAGGAAGCCAGGAAAGCCGTCCAGAGAGCCTTCTGCAGCCTGAAAGAGAATCCCCGGATCAGGTATTTGAACGGAAACTCCCAACCGTGAAAACTGCTGTGTCCCCTGCAGGCAGGATGGGGTGCACACGCAAACCCTACGTTATAGTAAGGAATACTTTTTAAAAATGAAACAGATTTTTTTTTTTTCTTTTCCTGAATTTGACTTCACTTGAGCGAAGTCCTGCATTGGAAGGGAAGAGTTTTATTCGCTTGGCCACAAGGGGGCAGGCTTGCAGTAGGAAAGGCCAGGACACCTCCTGAAGCAGCCACTGAGCTTGGAAACCATTGGGGGCTTCAGGGGGGTCGCCGGCCCCAAACATTCTGAACTTCCTCCTGCAACTCTTCGTTTCTCAGCCTGGCCCTAAAATAGTGTGGAAGGCTTGGAATCCTCCAGGAGTCTCCATTGAGCAAAGCATGCAGCAAAATGAGCCAAGGTGCCGTATTTTTCGGAGTATAAGACTCACTTTTTCCCCCCTCTAAAAGAGGGTGAAGATTTGGGTGCAAATGCAGCCTCCCAAACAGAGCCTCTCAAGCAGAATTTCTTTTTTTCTTATTTTCCTCCTCCCAAAATAAGGTTCGTCTTATACCTCCGGAGCATCCTATACTCCGAAAAACATGGTAGTTGGTTTCAGCTGCCCTGGGAATTTTGCCATGTCTGCAGAGGTGAAGAGGCTCGCTGACTCTTGCTGGGCCTCCCTTTCGGTTAGGCCTCCAGGGCTTGGCATTACTTCCCTCTCTGGGCAAAGCAGGGGGGGGGCGGGGGTCTTCTGGAAGGTGGAAAGCAGAAGGGAGGAGATGCCAGTTGGGGCTCCGTTCCTTGCATCTGCAGGACGTGAAACAGAACAGGGGCTTTGTGCGTGGAGCACATCTGTTGGGCTTCAAGAGTTTGGCCAGACCTTTCCAGCTGAACCGAAAGGGGAACACCTGCAGAGGGTTATGGGGGAGCAGGGAAGTCCTTGCCCCTCTGCCTTCCCTTAATCCTTTCTCTCCCCTCTTCTCTGCTGTCATCAAAGCTTGCCTTTCTCCATGGACTCCCACCCGCCCCCCCAAACTTCCTGGTGTGTGTGTGAGAGAGAGAGAGAGAGGCGTTGCATGGCTCGGAACCCCTGCTTTGTGGGGACAGGTGGGACGGCCGCGTCCCTTCGCTTGCCTGCTCATGAACCGCCGCTCTTGCCTCCTCCAGGCGCCTCCGAGGTTTCCACACCTGCCTCCCTTGCCGAGCGTTGAGCCGGACCCAGCGCACTGGAAGGACCTCGGAGACAGTCGGCCCCCTCAGAAGCTGCAGCTGGTGGTGGCTCAGGTGAACCAGCCCAAAGGCATCGCCCTCCAGTGGAACATCAGCCGAGTGGACCCCCGGTGCGCCCCCATCGAGAGCTTCTCCCTATTCATCTGCCTGGAGGACGTCAGCAACGGGACCACCTCCGAGTGGAAGAGGACCAGCGTCATCAAGGCCCTCCCGCTGCCCATGGCCTGCTCGCTCTCCCAGTTCCCCCGCTCCGTCAGGTGCTACTTCACCATGCAGTCCAAGGACGTTCACGGGCGCCACGGGCCTTTCTGCGAGGTCCAGTCCATCTCCGCTCTCTAGTGGGGGCTTCGGGGGAGCGGCAGGGCCCCTTCCCTAACCTGACACCCCTTTTCCCAGATACTTTTTAGGGGCATTATTTCCCCAGCTCAGTGTGTTGAAAACGCCCCGCCCAGTTCTTGGTTGCCCTTTTTTTCCCCTCCCGCACCAAGCTGGCATCACATGTGGGAGAACATCAGAGAAAAGGCTGGGAAGACGGCCTCCCAACGCTGATGTCTCCAGAGAGAAGAAACGGGAGGTTTCCCCACTTCACCACCGGGGAGAATCAGACTCAAGACCTCCAAGAGGGGGAACTTTGCTTTCAGTATTGTTTTCATCTCTTCACCAGCAATGAATGAGAGAGAGAGACGAATGATCTCTTGTCCCAAAGCCAAGTGGGTTAAAAAAAAAATTTTTTTTAAAAAATAATAAAATAAAGTGCCTTTTCTGTTGGATTTTCCTGCAGGCTATCTGTATTTTCCTGATTTTGTAAAAAGGCCACTTGGGTGGTGTGTTCCGATCCAAAGGTCCACTTTTTTCTCCCACCTTTCTCAACATTACTGAGGAAGTGGCTAAAAGAGCGGCATCTCACTGGCTGGGTGGCCGGGCGTACCGTTTCTCCACATTGGCTGTGGACTTCAACTCCCAGAATTCCCCAAATGGCCAGATGGGGAAATCTGGATGTTGAAGTCCACACATCTTAAAGCCGCTTTTAGTAGCCAGTGAGGCTTCCTCGAAATGACATGGTCTCGGTGGCATCTGTTACCTGGAGGGCATTTAGCTTATTCCAAGCATCCTTCCTTGCTTGTAAAAAAAGGGATTACGGTGCAGAAATACTGTTCACCAAGGAACAACTTTGTGCTTGTTCTGGAGCCCCGGAGTAAGTGCCACTCTCACTGAAAAGCAGGATCTTGAGCAGCCCCTCTCCAACCGAGGGTCTCCTGCTGGGGCCATTTGGCTGCCTTTTGGCTTTTTTCCACGCGAGACACACACTTCAGTTTAGGAGCCCAATAGGCCACTTTCCAAGCCCCTCTCCACAGCTGTGAGGAGGACTAGAAACTTCAAAAGCATTCTAGGGAAGCAAATGCTGTCTCCCGTTTATACGTCAACCATCCGGTACGCAACACGGTCTGCCTCGCAGCCACAATGGAATGAAATGTTGGCCCGATACCGGTTGTAAGGTTTTATTTCTATATACAATTGAATAGGTATATAAAATACAAAACGACCAAGGCACTGTTGGTGGAATTGAGCTATAAATTTGCCCTCTGAGAAACCCCAATTGCTCGATCACTCAGAATCTTGAAAAACTCCCGGTAGCGTAAAGAGCTTCGTTCCACTTTCGGTTAAAAGGGGCTGTTTCGTATTTATAAGGCAGGATTGCCTGGTTATATTATAGGGAGGCTTCCTGTTCGCTTCTTACGAAGGGGTCAGAAATATAAAGGTAAATAGGGTTACATATCTTTGTGTATATGTGCTATTTTTTTTAAACATAAATATAAATCCAAACTACAACCTCACCAGAGGAGTTAGTTGTTCTGAATAAAGGTTCACCAGTGGCAAGAACTTATCTTTAAAGCTTGCGCAGAGTTGCAGCCTGAAGAAAAGAGCCAGCTTGGGGACAGGGAAAAGGCGGGGTGGGGGGCTGGACAAGGGGTTATCCCGAAGGGAGGAAGTGGTGGGAATTAAAGGCAAAATTAAAAGCATTAAAGTCCAAAGAGGGCAAGGATGTCTAGCGGGAACGGTCTTCTCCCAACACGTCCCTTCCCACACGACTGAGGATGCTATTTCAGTCCAAATAAAGTCAATCTCTCACTCCAAATACCCACTTAATAAGACACGAACTTACGGTGCCGTCTACGTGTTTGAGGCAGGGGCTGTTGGGAAAGCAGCCCCAATTAGCTCTGTGGTGCTCAGGAATGAATCGGTCACAACCTAGTAAGAAGGACAGGGTTTCTCTGAGGGAGCAATCGAGAAGGAACGCCAGCAGCCAGGAGGGATGTGGTGGGCCTTGCCTCTGGCCAAAGACAGTCACTAAGAACAACTCGAGGGTCTCCCTGGGCTCTGCTGGATCTGGGCACCTCTCCCCCCCCAGCGCCAGCCGAGCGTCGTTCTGCCCACGTCAGCTGAGGCTTCCATGGCCTCGGAGGCTGACCAACACCGTCCAGCTTTGGTGCAAATGCCAAAGTCCAGCCTCTCCCTGCGCCAATGGGCAGCCACCTGCAGGGCCGCCTCAGGTCGAGCGGAGCTGCCTCATCAAGCTTTGCTTCCTCCCACGATGGATGCACCAGGAATGTTCGAAGTTCCTCAGAATATGGGGAAAAGGACAAAACGGGAAGGAATTCTGCGCCGGGGTGGACTGGAGGATGCGGCCAGAGGAGGGCCATCTGGAGCTGCGCCAAGGATGGAAACGCTCCAGCTGTGGATCGAGACAGGCACCACGTGGCAGACCATGAGGTAGCTCGGGACACACATGAGCATCGTCGAGGAGCAGCTTCGTCTTGGGCGAGGGGCCCTTGTGAGCCCCCCGGGCAGGACGAAAGGAAGACGCTCAGCTGCCCCACTGAGAGCTGCCATTGCACGAAGCGACTCGAGGGGCAGATCAGAGCGGGGTTCTTGGCACCAGAAGGCCCTGGGATTCCCTACGGTTGCTCCAACTCCAAGATTGCTTAACACATTGTAACCCACCCTGAGTCTCTGGAGAAGGGCGGCATATAAATCAAATTAAAAAAAAAAAAAAAAGATGCCAGCTCTCGGGGTTTTACAGAATTGGGGGGTGGGGGGCAAGATGGGTTTTGAGGAGCTCCCCTTTCATACGGCGTAAAAGGGAACCTGGGCTAAGGAGGCTGGCATCTGTTGCATGCTGCCAGTCCCAACCAGACCCCTACCTCTGTGCCCTCGCCCTCACCTTTTGTTAAGGCCGGGTAGCCCCGCAGTTGTTTGGAGAGCTGCAGAGCCAGAGAAGCCCCGAAAGCGGGAGGGGGACCGGCATGCCCAGGGCTCTTGAGTCACTCTTGAGAGCCGTGGGGGCTGCTGGCTGGCGCTGGGCAATCCTGCCCAGAAGTGCCAGTCCACCCACCTCTTTCTTCTCTTCGGTCCTCCCGCCGGCCTTCTAATGCCACGCCAAGGACGGGGAAGGGGCCCAACCACAGCTGTACAACAAACGCTTCTATTTACACAAAGGGGGGGCTGGAATGCCAGCGCTTCAAGGAGAGCTGGGGGGGCGGGGGGGCTGTTCTTCTCCCTTGCCAGCCGCCAGCCCGGCTTTATTTGCGCTTCCTCAGGACGAGGTACATGAGGCCGCTGAGCAGGGTGAAGGCGAAGGCCACCCAGGCCAGCACGTAGGAGTAGCCGAAGCGGCCGCTCTCCACCTCAAAGCGGCCGTAGGTGAGGCCCCGGTGCAGCTCCGAGCGCCGGTTGGTGTAGACGGAGGCCCCGATCATCACGCAGAGGCCTGGGGGCAAGAGGCAGAGGGACCCCGCTTAACGACAAGACACAAACTCTAGGCCTACAGCAGGAGCAGTCCTCGACTTACGACCAGAATTGGGGCTGGAATTTCTGTTGCTAAGCAAGGCGGTCGTTCAGTGAGTCGTGCCCGATTTTAGACCTTTTTGGCCACCATTGCTAAGCAGTCATTAAGCGAATCAGTGCCCCCGCATGGACTCTGCCTGGGGATGCTGCGGCGCCAGTTGCCAAGCGCCCAAATTTTGCTCAGGTGACCATGGAGACAGCGCAACGGTTGGGGTTGCAAGGACCGGTTGTAACTCGTTTTGTGTGGTTATAACTTTGAACAGTCACTAAGCGAACGGCTGTAAGTCGAGGAGTGCCCTATTCCAAATCCGAAAGGAGTTCTCGCCACGTGACTTTTGGATCAGGTGAGGCGGCTTTGAGAAAAGTCGCATTTCTTATGCTGCCTCCCCCCAGCAAACCATGATGAAGAGGAAAGGGACGCTTCCCCCCCCAGACCTGGTTTAGCTATCCCGTTAAAAATGTTGGTCTAGTTCTGGGAAAGGAGGTTTCAAAGCCGGGATACTCACAGGACAAGAGCTGGATGATGGAGGTCAGCACAAACCGCTCTCCTTGCTTCAGGCGGAAGAGCTGAAGGATGAAGACGAAAAAGGCCACGCAGCAAAGAATGGTGGACAAGATCATCGTGGCTTGGACGGTCTGGATGGACGGGTATTCTGGAGGGTGGGGTGGGGGTGAATGAAAAGGCGTGTGGAGACAGGTCACCCCAAAAGGCTGGTTCCCACAAGACTCCTATTGCACAGGGCTCAAACCTTGGAGACTTCAATTCCCAGAATTCCCCAGCCATCGTGAAAGCCCAGAGCAGGCACATCCAACCTTCGCTTGGATGTTTAAGATCTGGGGAATTCTGGGAGCTCTCCTGGTTGCCCACCCCTGCCTGATTGTGTAGCACAAGACGCCGTGGCTTGTAAGCCAGGATTGATGGCTTAAGGCCCAGTGCTGGAGAAGCTTCAAAGGCAAGCTGAAGCAAGCCCCCTCCTCGTTCCGGGCAGCAGCAGCAGCAGCAGCACCTCGGGGCCTCCCCTGCCCAGGCTCATTTTCCATCGGCCTGTCCGCCTCCAGAGCCAGCCGCATCCTGCCCGAGACGTCCTCGTGCCAATTCCATGCCGAAGGACAATAAAAGAAGCCCGAGCTCTCCTGCCAACTCCCATTCCTCGATTTCCTCCACAGGAAAATCAGCCAGCTTCCACGGCAAGGAACTTCTGAATCGGGCAGCTGTGGGCCGCTCCCTTCCTCCTCTTCTCTCCCCAGGCGCCTTGGCAAAGCGCCCTGGCTTCCCCCCCCCCGCACTCCTCAAAGTGGGGGAAATCCCAGAGGAAAGGGGTTTTCAGTCGAGGCCGGCACCCCAGACGCCCCTGGGGGAGCAGTCAGGGCTACAGCCTGCATCCCCCACCCCCCGAAAGCTTCCTTCTCTTATGCAGCCTCAAGGATGGAAGGTAAAGGCTTCCCTGTCCAGTCGTGTCCGACCCGAGGGAGCAGTGCTCATCTCCCTTTGGCCGAGGGACCCAGCGTTGTCCAAAGACGCTTCTCTGGTCATGTGGCCAGCAACACTGTTGTCTTCCCACCAAAACGGTCCCTATTTATCTACTCGCATTCACGTGCTTTCTAACTGCTAAGTGGGCAGCTGCTGGGGCCGATAACTGGAGCTCTCAGGACTTGAACTCAGGCTGTCAGCTGACAAGCTCAGCATCTCTAACCACTGAGCCTCTAACCGCGCCCCCCAGTAACAGGCTATATTTCTGTGCCATTGGAGAAATGCCGAATGCCACAAAGTCCTGGCATTTTGCACCCACGGGCTAGTTAGAAGACTTTGGGGCTGGGGAGGGGGAGTGGAGCAGACCCTCCACAGGTGCCTTTGAAGTGTCCGTCTCTTCCCACCCCCAGCAAGCAGGAAAGTCCTCCTTGAGGCTCACCTGGAAAGGTATTATCCAAGGCGGTACAGTTCGTCTCATTGAAGCACTGGTGCCAGATGTCTGTGAAGAAGCCATCGCCCACCCACCAGGCCTGAAAAAGAAGAGGAAGAGGACACGGAGAGTGCAGGGACCTCTACTCAGGAGACCCGGAACTAGCCTTTTTTTAAAAAAATAAATAAATAAAAACCCAAGAAACGGGAAGCACAGATGATGAATTTTCAACAAGGCTTTGTGGCTGGCAGTGATTGCCTGCTGACCTCGTCCGTGGATACGCGGAGAGAGAACTTTGTAAATATGCCTAAGAAAAGAGTCAGGAAGTAGCTCCGTGTGTGTGTGTGTGTGTGTGTGTGCACGCACGCAAACCAAGGTGGTGTTTTGTTTCAGCTGGTGAGGTCAGTATTTGAGCTCTATTCAGCCTGAACTCAGCTCAGGCCTGAGTAAATCCATCACGTTTTGTTTACGGGTGATTCGTGGCCAGTGAAAACACAAACCATAACAGCCCAAGGATCGACAAATCAGAGATTGAGACAGAGAGAGAGAGACATGACTCCTGGGATAACTGATACGCTTTGGGTCCCTCCTCTATTCGATTCGACCCGCATACTAGTATAAAGTGGTACCAGTTACCCACGTGCAATATGTATTTGAAAAGAAAGACTTCCGACTGTTTTGCTCGGTTGAATTGGCCTCACCCCCAAGGTGGGAGTCGTAGTTCATGGGTGTGCGTGGTTTTTTTTTCTTTTTTAGGTTGGGCACCAAAGCACGGGGGACCTTCTCAGCAGCACCTGGACCAATGTTTCTCAACCTTGGCTGCTCAAAGACATGTGGACTTCAAGTCCCAGAATTCCCCAGCCAGCTTGGGGGACTTCTGGGAATTGAGGTCCACACGATTTCAAGGGGCCAAGGTTAAGCAACCCTGCCTTGGACTAAAGGCGCTGTCCGTGCACTTCCAGATTAGAAGAGCTTGGTAAAATTTAATCTCCTTGTTCAGATGACACCCCTTCAATCCTGGAATCAGACCCCAAACAGAAAGCCCTGGCAACTCACGTTATCGATTGTCGAGATGAACAGAAGTGCGGCTGAAGTGATGTGGAAGAGGATGATAAAGGCCAGGAGGATCAGCATGGTGGAGCAGGATGAGGGGCGGCTCTTTCAGACGAGAAGAAAGCGATGCTGTTTGGACACAAAGAGAAAACAGAGCAGAATTATGCCAGGCGAGGCTACATGTGTCGTCTCGAAAACTTCTGCTACTTTAGCCAAGCCGGTGACTGTCGCTTCCTTTACTTCGACATAACAATTCACGAATCAAAGCTGCCTTCTCAAAAGACATGTCTGAAAGTTGCCAAGCTTGACTAACACGGATTTAGAAGAACTCCGGAGATGCGGTTGGGCCTGATCTTCTCCTTTTAAAACAAAAGCTCTTACCTCAGAGTTGAAGAGCTTGATCTGCCAGTTAAGAAAACTAAATCTGGACATGGAAGGGTGGTGGCTGTGGCAGAGAGGCCTTTTTCCTCACCGTCTCCTCAACCCAGGAAGCCATAAAAGCATCCTAGTGACTAGAGGACGACTCTAAATTCAATGAAGCTGAATATTTTCCTCACAGAGGCAGTCAGACCACTGGGTCACCTTCGCTGCTGCAATTCCAGAGACACCAAAGCAGGACTTCCTATTTTTTCCCATGGTGGCTGATCCCATCCTAACCTCTCTGGGCTTTCTCTTTCTTTCTTCTTTCTTACTTTCTTTTTCTTTCTCTCTCTTTTTTTCTTCTTTTTCTTTCTTTCTCTCTCTCTTTTCTCTCTCTCTCTCTCTCTAAGCACCCAAGCATTTGCAATGTACGAAAGAACTCTCTTCCCTCTGCAAACAGCACTTAGCAATAGACTTATATACTGTACCCCTTCACAGTGCTTTACATTCCTACCTAAGCCGTTTACAGAATCAGCCTCTTGCCCCCAATGATCTAGGTCCTCATTTTACTGACCACAGAAGGACGGAAGGCTGAGTCAACCTTGAGCCAGTCAGGATCGAACTGCTGGCAGTAGGCAGAGTCAGCCTGCAATCCTGCTTTCTAACCACTGAGCCACCATGGCTCTTTTTATAAATGCCCACTTAACCATAGTGGATTCCGTGGGATGGCCACAAGGGAGCCAATATCTTGAGGTTTGGGGGGGGGAATTGGTTGAGGATACCTAAATCTATACAGCTGAGGGGCCTATCAAAAGAGGCAGCTCTACCTGTACCTTCCTCAGGCAAAGGAAGGAAGGTGCACCCATGAGGCCTTTGGAGCACCAGAGGGCCTCTGAAGGGTCTTCCTTAGCTGGAGACGGAGGGGGCAGTTAATAGGAGAAGATGCTTTTCTTGGGTGGCTCCAATTAATGTGCCCATGAACTCCTCTCTGCTGGCCCTCAAGGAGATTTTAAAGATTTGTCTCTGCCGGTTGGTATCTGAAGGCTCCGTGCTCTGCTCCTTTATTTGCTGATCTTGTTTAATCTTGAAACCTTGACTCTGTTGAGTGGTCTTCCAGGATGAAGCTTGCACTATTCCATGGCCTTAAAAAGCCGCCTCTGCGCCTGGTTTTCCTTAACGGCCCAACCTTCGTCCAGAACAAGGCCTGTCCCTTTGCTCAAGCTGGCCTTTCAGCGGTTCTGCTTCAAAATTATAACCCGGGCAGGACAAACAACCAGGAACTGCCTTTGACTGACATGAAGGCTCCTTAGGTGCTTTTAGTAGAATTACTCACCTGCTCCCTCCCTCCCTCCTGTCACATTAAAAGATCTAGAACTTGGTGTAGCAGCTCTGGGGCCACACCTGAGGATTCGGGAGGGGCTGCTTTAAGAGGAGCTGAGGCTTAGACGGTCGCAGCTGCCCTTCATGTGGGTCCTGGGTTGGGCGCCCTGCAGGGTCTCCAAGGAGCATGGCTCATGTGCTGAGGACTTGCACGATCTGGGTCCCTGCTCAGGTGAAGAGATGGGTTTCTTTTTCTATACTGCGAAGTTTGGAGCCTCGATTGTGAGCCCTTCTCGTTGTCCGTTTGGCCCCTTGTGGTGCCAATGAACCCTGCAGAGAAGGCACAGATTGGATGCCTCCCTCTGAAGAAGGGCAAAGGGTTGAAATAGAAGAGGAAGATGTTGAGACTCGGAAGGTCCAGCCTCAAGGGTGCAATTTGCTGCTCTCGGCCAAAGGCCACCCCTGGGGCAAAAGTGCAGTATCTACAACGGAGAGCTTCCAGAGCAGAAGGAAGGAAATGGCAATGGGGGGGGGAGAGAGAGAGAGAGAGAGAGAGCCAAAACTCTGCTTCTCACAATGCCCGGCTTGTGTGGCCACACCTAAAGGGCATCTTGTGAAAGGAGGACTTTTCTATCCAAGCCTTCCCAAACAATATTGATGGGTGGGCAGCCTGGAGAGCAATTCAGCCGATGGCCAGTCCCAGAATGCCTTTCTCTCGGCGGGAATCGTGCCTGAGAAACGTCTGTTTGCCCAACCAGGGAGTGGCCAGAGGAGAACATGAAGTCAGGATCCCTGAAGTCACAGGAAGCTCTGCCAGCAACCAGGCAGCAAGCCGACTCGTGATGAAACAGGGTTGCCTGGTTCTCTTACAGTTTCTTGCCGGCCACCTGCTTCATCTTATGTTTACCTGCTGCTCGTTGTTTTATCTGCGCTGTGCCATGGAAAGAGGGACGTTACTCGGTGTAATAAAATCTTACGCCGCCGCTTTGCACACACCTCAATGTGTAGGAGGGACCCTGCGTCTCCTTAAGCCACTGTTGGCAGACTACAAGGGCTGGTTTGCCCAACGTGCTCAGCCCCACATCCATGCCAGCTTAGTTCACTTCGATTAGGTTGATCCATCGCCTGAAATTTATGCCCTGGCCTGAGCCGCTGAATCTGGGCGGTTTTATTGAAAGAAGCAAAATTGGTCTAAAGAAAAAGAAGCCGTTTCCAAGAGCAGCCGGCCAGATGCTCTTGGAAAGCTTACAAGCTATGAGCTACCAATCCAAGCAATGCGCAGAAAACAGGCAGGAATGCAAATTGAAGCGAAAACATTACAAAACAACCTTGAGAGGTCTCTTGTAAAAGTACTCAAACAGCAGGGATTCCAATTGCTTCCACTTTGAAAGAAGGCAGAAAAAATCCGGACACGGGATTTGTGGAAGCTGAGCGGAGGCCACTTGGCTTATGGCCAGGGGCTCTGGCCCGGCAACCCTTACCTGGGATTCTGGGCCCACTCTAGGTAATCCAGGGCAGGAACCGTCTAAATGTCCAGCTTCCCAACTGCATACCTGGTTGGCCACTGGGGAAGGAGGGTCCCAGAGGCCAGCAAGGTTCAGGAGAAGCAATGCTTGGGCCAAGAGAGCCCCCCGGAGTCTTCCTTCCGTCCCCCTCGTGAATAAAGTGTCTCACTCTTCCGGCGACCCCTTTTATGATTAGAGTCTGAAGACGATCAGAAGAACTTCAGGCCATCCAGCTGCCTGCCTCCAAGGGGTTCCTAGCATGAGGGCAACCAAGCCATCTCATGCAGCCCTCAGCCACACCTTGCCCTCGGAGTCACCCCCTGGCAGAGGTCAGGATTGACTTGGGCATCTCCCCACTACTTCTCAGCTTTCGGAGTCCTTGTGTCATTCCCCTGGGGTGGGGGGTCCCTTCCAAAGGGGAGAGGGGAAGGGTCTTCAGAACAGGCCAATTGTGCTGGAGGACCATGAGGCAGTCTCCACCCCCTCCTCCTCCTCTCGATGGGAAGCCAGATGTAGAGCAAGGCAAGATGCTGACAAGTGGGGCTTGGAGAAAGGAAGAGACCCCTGGATGCAACTGGTTACATTGGAGGTTAGACAAGGCTGAATCCTGGAGCCCCTCGGATGACAAAGCTCCGCTCCAGAAGAGATGAAAGAGGAGGCGCCCCAGCCTCCACCCCGGAGGGCATGCAGAGGACAGTGGTTTCACCATCCACACATATGCATATATATGTATAAATATGGAAATCCTCACCATTCATCTCATTGTTCTGAGTAACACTTTTCCTTCTCCAATAATCCTAATTCACAGGTCATGTTATGCACACTTTGCATAATTAAGTTTGCTGAATAGGTTACAACTGGCAGGGTTCACAAAATACACTAAATTGTTCATCCCGGGTTGCAAAGCAACAGGAACCATCCCCCGCCATGGAAACGGTTCCCCAAATCGATTCCGTGTGACTTTTCCTTGAATCTCTGACCATCTAGACTGATGCCAAAACTGCTGCCATGATTAGAAGGGAAAAGGCGAAACACACCTCTGTGGGCCTCCCTTACCTGGGCACCTGTTGCAGGTACCCGGCTACAACTCCCGTTTCCTGGAGGGGAGTGCAAGAGAGCCCACCGCCGTCCAAGCCTTGTCCTCCTCATGCTCTTGCAGGTACTCCCGCCTAGCTCCCCATTTTACAGGGAGGAAAAGCGAGGCACAGGACGCCGCGTGGCTGAAGCCCACCTTCACCCTCTGCAGGAGCACGATCCGGCCCGAGGGTCTTCCCAGACGGCCCTCCCCCTCCTAATCTCCGTCGCCAGTCCGCTTCGGCGCTCCCTCCCTTCCCCAAACTGACTTCGAACCAGCGGACGAGTCCCGGGCCAGGCCTGGGATGCATCGGAGGGACGAGAGAGCCCCGGACGCCGCTTCTGGGCGGCTGGAACTGAATCTCCCCAAGGAGGGACCGGCCCGCTCCGGCTATCCTGGGCCGGGAGAGCCCCGGGCCGTCCTTTCCAGCCGGGCTTCCCCCGCGCCCCCTCCCCGCGCAGAGGGGGCTCCAGGGCGGCCGCCGATCGAGGGCGGAGCGGCCGAGAGCGCCCCCCGCCCCGCCCCGGCTGGCGCTCCCCGGCTCCACCCGCGCTCCGGCGCCCGGAACGGCAGCGGCATCCCTGGCCTCCCGAGCCCGCTTTCCCGGCGCTTCTGCCACGCCAAGCCCGGAGCGGCGGCTTCGGAGTCCGGAGCGCGGCGGGAGGGAGCGGTTCCCCCGCCGGCCGGAGCTCCGGTTGCCCCACGGCCAGCGCCGCTTCTCAGCGGGCGGGCAGCGCGCTCTCCCGGGGCGCCTTTCTTCCCCCCCAGCCCCACTCACGGCCGGTGGCTGCTGGCCGGGTCGGGAGCGGCGGCGGGGCTGCTGCGCGCGAGGAGTGGCTGCTCGCTCTGCCGCCTGCTGGGCCGGCCGTGGCAGGAGCCCGGCTGGGTGGGGAAGGGGGAGGGGAAAAGGCAGCGGGCTGGGGGAGCCGCAGCAGGCCGGGCCGGCTCTCTGGCCGCCGGGCGGAAGGGCAGCCTTTGCTTCCCTCCCGGGAAGGCCCGTCCGGCGGATGGTCAGGAGGCGCCGGGCAGGGCTGGCCGCCGCTCCAGGCCTTCTGCGAGCAGCGTGGCTGCTTCGAGGGGCTTCGGAAGGGCCGAGCGCGGAGTGGCACAAGGACCCGTTTCCGACCTTCGGCTGGTAGAGAGCCCAGGTCCCCCCAGGGCCGCCCCCGCTCTCCGTTTGGGCAGCTCTGTCAAAACGGGGTTCCCATCCGCCCCCCCCTTCTTCCAAAGGAGATCAGCCGAGACCAGGATGAGACCAAGCCAGGATCGTGGTCCAGGATTGGAATCAATTGGATTCACCAGAACCAAACACATCCACATTCTTTTCCACAGAGAGACTTCCAGGACTCCGGCTATGAGAACTTCACAGGGTTGGGGGCTTCCCCACCAAAGCCATTTCCTTTTGCTGGCCTGGGGGGAGGGGTGAGGGGCAACAGAGACCGATCACCTGCAAGTGCATTTTGACACAGATCGAGAAAAGTGCCAGTGGAACCAATAAGAAAGGGGGGGGTCTTGAGCCTCTTCGACTGGCCGGACTTACTGGGCAACCCTTTAGAGGGGTCTCCCCTCTACTGTGGGGGCAAGGGGACCCCCATGCCACCTGAGGCCCAAGCCAGGCATTTTGCTGCAGGGAAGAGAGTAGCAAACAAGGGCCCCTCCCACCAGCCTCGCTGCAGGGCACCAAAGGATGGCCAAGTTATTTTGGCAACTGAGGTAGGAATTTCCACCACCAGCATTTCCTCACCTCCCTGGCACTGAAACCACACCCACGGAGCAGCAAGAAGCCATCTGGTGCCTTTTCAGAAGGCTCCATCCAAGGGGCCTCCGAAGGCTCCTGCCTGCCTTGGTCTCCCAGCAGAGCCTGGAGGCTCTCGGACGAAGGTCCCGGCTGGCTCTGCAAACAGATCCAGGGTTGGTTTTTTTCTTCTTAAAAAAACCCATGTCTGTGTGTCTGTGTAGGACCAGGGAATCCCGGCTGGTCTAAGACGGCACGATGGCCAGATAAAGAGCAGAAGGTGAGAAGAACGGCTTCCTGCTTCTTGAGAGCAGAAGAGAGATCCCGAAGCCAAGCGGATGATTGGCCAGTCAGGGCTCCGTCCCCACAATGCTGCTGCTGCCAAGAGAACCGAATGACCCACTGGAACCATTCGGTCCCCTTCTGTTTCCCCAGGACAGGATGTTCATCCAGCAGATCTGGAGGCACCAGGCTAGGAATGTGCTCCTTCCACGCACAAATGAGTGAAAGTATCAACCCTAAGGACGTGGCACCAATATGGGTCATGTCGTTTCATGTCCAGACCATTATCTCTGGATCAATACGGCCACATTGGCCAGGACAACAAAAGGCCTGTTTTGCTCTCAGATCAGAGGAGAACTTGTGGGCAAGACTCTCGGGCAAAGGGCCCTGACGTCAGAAGGGGATGGCTCGGGACATGAAGACTGAGAGGGGAAGAGAGGGCATGAAGAGGGCACCTAGTCAACCTTGGGGGAAACCACATCTTTCTCCCTGTCTCTGAAGGTATCAAAGTCCTTGGCCAAACTTTACCTGTTTTCAGGTAAACTTTACCTGTTTCGTGGCAAAGATGCTTCATCCCCAAGGCCCCTTTTCTTATGTTCTTGGCTGTGAAAGTGACCAGTCCTGCTAAGGTCCAGCTAAAGCTCCAACCAGCAGCTCAGCCAAGCTAAGCCGGAGGGAGCCACCTCTGGAAATATTCTGACTGGAACGGGAAAGCCAAAGCAGAGGCCCCAGCCATGGCCTCGGCCTCCAGTCAGGCATCTCCGATGCTCCTGTCAGTCCTGTGGCTGCTTTGGGTGGCAACGCTGCCTTTTCTGATGTTGCTGGGGCATCCTGGCCCCAGCAGCAGCTGGCAGGCCTGGGGCCCTTTTCTTTTTATAGCCCCTCCATAGAATAAACTTCAGGAGCAGATCTTTGGGCCACTTTCCCTCCAGGCCAGGGAGAACTTGGGGGGGTTTCTCCCTCCCTCTTCAAAAAAATAAAACAAGTAGAAGCCAGATAAGATTAAAACCAAATCTGGTACAAGAGACACCAATTTGCATAACGCCGCCTCCTTCCAGAGTGTCTCCACTTAATCACAACAGAAGGAAAAGGATGCAGCTTTCCCAGCCAGGTGTGCCTATCCAGGCCCTGGCGGCAGGTGAGGTTCACAGGCATGCACATCCAAGTCAAGGCTTATTGGGATATCTGTCGGCCAAGACCTCCCTCAATTTCCATGGTTTTCTTCATTGTCATACAAGGTTCCGTGTGATCAGCAGAAGCTCTCCAGCTTCTCCAGCTGGCCTGAGAGGCTTCCCAGAAGACCCGGCTGGCCTGGCAGGGAAACCTGGCACAACCAGGAATCTTCCCCTCAGGCTGTCCTTGCTGGGCAATGGACAGGGAGAGGGAATGCAGCCCAGCACACCTGGAGGATGCCCGTTTGGGGGAAGCCAGGTAGAGCTTTTGCCTCTCTTCCCGCATGCTCCCGAACCACAACCCAACCATTTCTGGCTGGGAAAAGTCCAGACCACCATTAATGGCAGCAAAGAAAGGAGGAGCTCGGTTCTGCCTTGCAGGGTGCCCAGCTTCCTCCTGCCAAGATCTGGGAGGCTGATCAGGTCTGCAGAGCAACCATAAGCCTTCAACGGTTGGGCATACCTGGCGAAGAGCAAGTTCCTTCTCTCCTGTGCCAGCCCCAGGTTGGGCGGGAAGGGAGGGAGGGTTGTTGGGGCACGTCTGATCACATCAGAAAGGCAGCTGGCCTATAGACGCCGAGCATTTCCGTCAGTTGAAAAGAGAGCAGCTAATGGCTGATTTTGGGACATCCCGAGGCTCTTTCCCAGGAGCGGGAAGGCCACCTGCACACATTCCTGCCAGCTCTAGTTCGCCCTTCCGGGTCAG